GAGCCACATGCCGCCTTCACCCAGCCTCACACCGCAGAACAAGCTTCTATCTTAACTTTAGGTCACAGATGGGTGGAAAAACAGAGGCAGCCAACATCTGCACACTGAATGCCTAATGCTTTACATGCATGATTCTCATTTAATCCTCAGCACCTCCTTTTTAATGTAAGTGCTAACCTCCCTCTTAGGAACCTTTTTAGGGAAACTGGGGCTTAAAGATGCAAGGTTAGATACCAGGGCTGTACCCAAGTAGCTGGCGATCATACTCTCTTCCCCTCCAATTAGGGGCTCGACGCCTCTAGCGGGGATGGCCCAGAGCTACCCAAGTGTGAAAGTCAGAGGCCAGGGGGCAGCAAGCAGTTACGGGCTCTGAAGGACTCTGGGGTCACTCTGGCCTCTCCCTCACCAGAGGCTGGTGCCTGTCTCCTAGCCCTTCTGGCTGGGGCAAGGGTTACCTTCTCCTTCAGTTCTGCCAACTTCTCCTGTAGCTGGCTCAGCTTCTTGGCCAGCTCCTTCTTGACGTGCTGCTCCGACTGCAGCGCGCAGGTAATCTCCATATTCTCATTGGTCTGGACAGAGAGAAACAATTAGCGGTAGCCATCCAACACAGCTGGAGACCCCAGAACTGGGTGTCCGCATCCCACAGCTCAGGGAGGGGTGGAGGCAGGGGGGAAAATCTTCCCCCTCCCCATCTCATCCCTCCAGACAGGGCTCTCTAGGTCACAGCGTGCCTTCGTGCGCACCGTTTCATGGAAGGTCCATACCACACCCATTGTACAGGTGGGAAAACAAAGGCCCAGAGGGGCCAGGTGTCACGCCCCACCCCAAAGGACTTGGCCGGGGAGGAGGGCAGGCTGGCCGGGCAGGGCTGCGCACCAGCCTGACAAATCCATTCTGCAGCTCGGCCAGCTGCTCCTTGAGCTCGCGGTTCTGGGACAGCGCACGGCTGATGGTGGTGCGGTCGTTCTGCATGCTCTCCAGAATCTGCTTGCGCTCCTCCGCCTGGCCCCCCCACTCCTCAGCTGCCCGCTCCAGCTCCAGCAGCCGCTGCTCTTGCTCCTGATTCAGGCGACTTAGACTTTCATTGTCTTTCACCTGTTCCTTCAGCTGCCCTGCCAGGCTCTCCAGCTCCTTATGTAGCTGCTCGGCCTCCTCTTGAAGCAGTTGTTCTGCTTCCGAGGGCCCTGCTGGGGACTCCTGGGGTGGGCACGCAGCTGAGAAGGGAGCACACTGTCAGGGCCTCTCAGCTCTGCAGTCCCCAAAACTCCCTCTTCTTGGTCCACAGCTCCTAACTCAGCCTCCCCAACCCACATCTTGGCTTCCTGGCTCAATGTTTCAAGACACTTTCAAATGGAGGTCTTTACATCTTTATGCTCAAGATGACTTGGGAAGGGTGACAGTGGGGACTCCACCCCTCTTGTGCAGATAGGGACATTGAGGCTCAGAGAGACTGCAAGACTTGCCAACTCCCAGTATGGACCTCTCTCCCTGGGCCACAGTGTCCTTCCACCCACCCACCTCCATTCTAAGCCACCCTCACCAGCCCCGACACCAATCCTGCTCCCAGACGCCCTGCCCCAGCGTACCCATCTGGCTCCTCAGTTCAGCCAAGCTGGCCTCCAGCTCCTGCACCTGACTCATGCTGTGCTCCTTTTCTTCCCTCAACTTGCACACCTGCCCGAAGCACAGAGGGGCAGAGGGGGATGAAGGAACGGCCCAGCAACCATCTCCCTCTCCACCCCCACCTCAAGAGATACACTTCCACCTCTGCCTGTGCACAGCAAGCGGCATGATCCCCAGCTTACAGATGCCCAGGAAGATCAAGTGACCTATCTCAGGTGAGGGGTTGAAGGTCACATCTCACCTGCTCTGTCATTTGTTCCATCTTCTGCTGCCAGATGGCGTTTTCTTCTTTCATATTTGCCACGTACAGGTCTCTCTCCATCTTCAGCTGCTGCAGTGAATCTTTCAGCTACAGAAGAGGGCGCAGAAGTTAGCAGGGGCTGTCACTGGGCCTCACCTGCTCCTGGACACCTGGGGTCATCCTCCTTCCACACCCCTCCCTCTGCAAAGCCTCACCAGCTGCACGTGGGTCTCCAGCTGTGCCCGGTCTTCCAGGGCCTGCTGTAACTGCTCGCTGCTACCATGGGTAGGTTGATTAGAAAACTGGATGGTGAAAAATGAGGTTAGATCCGGGGAGCCCAGGGTGTTCCATGCAATGCCCCCTAAAAGGGTCTGAGCTAGCATCAATGTATAGCTCAGGGTTGTCCTCGTATTATTAGTACCACAGGCTTTATTTTTACTAAATACTCATTATAATGAGGTTTTGGGTTTTTTTAAGTAGTTTTTTTGTTAAATAGAGGTGCCAGGGATCGAACTCAGAACTTTGGGCATGCTCGGCACGCACTCTACCACTGAGCTATACCTGCCCCCTAAACACTCATTATAAACAATTAAAACAGCAAGTGTTCAAAGTCCTCCCAACCCTTCCTCTAGCTTCCCAATCACCCCAATCTGTGTGTATCCTTCCAGAGCCTTTTCCATAGGTATACAAACACGCTGCAGCTGTGATATCATGGGGCAGTATCACATATGGTTCTGCAAGTTAATGTCACTTTGCTGCAAACAAGATACATTTAGTTCTGTAATAGTTACACAGTAGCCCAATATATACAGCCTGCTGTGTCCATACCCTTATCGATGGCCTTTTAGATGCCTATAATAAATAGGGCTACACACTGGTGCTGCTCCTAGAAATGGATCATTGAATCAAAGCTGGTAAGTGAACAGCCGTCTGTTCAGATGAACTTCAGAGCAACCTTAAGCTCTAACTTTTTATATCTTGAGTAAGCCATTTATTCGACTGCCCATCACAGGAATGGGCAGAAAGACTGCTCTGGTGGACAGGTAAATGGGAGGACAAGAGGAGGTAATAAGCTCTATCTGCTGCCCAGGCCAGACCAAATTTGGAGACTCACATTTTACACTGGTGGCCTGATCACAAGGGAAGCCCTGAAAGATCAGGTCACATCCAGGAGAAAGAAGTCAGGAAGGTAACAGACTGCATGAGAAATAGCTGAAGGAGCTGGGCTGTTTAGCTCAGTAGTAATCTTAGAATGGACAGGGGAATCACATACTCCCTTGCAAAGTATCTGAAGGTCTCTCTTGGGAAAGAGATTAAACGTTTCCCATGTTGTTCTGGAAACAAAGACCCCAGTGGAAGGATGTTTTATGAAGGCAGAGAATTGCTGTGCATGCAGAGAATCTCAAGAGGAGGCTCTCTGACTTGGGCACCCTGTCTGCCTGGAGGCTTGGCCGCTCAGAGGAAGGAAGCAGACCCGTGGTTGGTCTTGTGACAGTCACCCAGAAAACAATGGTTTTCAAGCAAAACGCTTTAAAGAATTTAAAAAAAAAAGCCCCTATCCCTGAGATTCTGATTCCAGACGTCTGGGCAGGGCCCCAATTTTTCTATCTCTGGAAGATTCTTTGGCAGGATCAGAACAAGGATCCAAGTTCTCTAGCCTGTGGCTGGAGACCACCCACAATGATCTGGGAGGTCCTGACCCACCATGTGGAGCCAGCATCCCCCAGGCCTCGAGTCCCACCTGCTGCAGCAGCAGCTCCGACATCTCCAGCTTCTTCTGCAGCTCATCTGTCCCCAGCTGTATGGCCGCCTTCTCGCTCACCATGACCCGCAGCTTCTCCTCCAGCTCCAAGTTCTGCTGCTTCAGGTCCTCATTGTTTTTGCTATGGCCGGAGGCAGCGGAGGGAGGCATAAGTAAGGAACAGGAAGGATCGCTCTGGTGATCAACCCACCACCTTGGCCACAGAATGACAGAACAGTCACTTTGGAAGGGACCCCAGGCTCAAGAGTCACAAGTGGCAGGCCAGAGAGGACATTAGCTGCCTAAGGCCACAGCATAAGTCGATGGCACAGCTGGGACAGAGTCAGACTCTGCACAAGTCCAAACCTGTACCACCTTGCCATGATCCCTTGGATCCCCCCACTTCCCAGCCCATCCCCCAGAGGCCCCCCCAGCCCTCCCCGACCTCCCCCATCCTACTTGTGCTTGTATAACTCCAGCTTGAGGGCATCTCGCTCCTTGGTTAATTCTTTGTTGCTCTGCAAACACAGAAAAGCGAGGTCAGGATGGGGCAGGTGGAAGGTGCAGCTTGCAGACCGACAGCAGCAACAGTAATCACTCCCAGCGACATGTCCTCACCTGCTGTCACACTTTACATTTTTTCAAAGCACTTTCAAGTTCATGTTCTCACTTGGTTTTAACAGGGACTCGCGAAGGGTGGAAGAGGCAGTGGAGAGGCCTAACCCACAGCTGGCTAACAGGGCCAGGGCCAGCGGATAACACTACCATTGTTATTACTACTGTCATCACCACGTCTGGACCTTTTTTGAGCACTTTCTCAGCCAACAATCCCATTTTATCCTCAAAATCACCATGGGAGGCAGTTACTATTACTACCTCCATTTTACAGGTGAATGACACGGAGTACTAGAAGTTAAGTCGCTTGCCTAAAATCACTTAGACAGAGCTGGGATTGAACATCCAGGTCTGTTTGATTGTTTAAACACGTTTTCTCGCTGGGGTAGGGGGCGCAGATATGGAGGGGCGGTAAATTCTATTGTAACCTTTTGTTCATTTTTTGAGTGGATAGCACACTTACATAGCCCAAAACCCAGAAGGTACAGAAGTGACATGTCTCTCAGCCACCCTGTTCCTCTCCCCTGGGTTTTTATGAATCCTTCCAACATGTCTTATATATTACACACAGGTACTGCTCTCCTTTTTAGTTTAGCATGGTAGCATATTAAAAATGCTGTTCTGTACCTTCATAGCCCAAACACCTAGCACTTGGGCCAGGGCCCACAGCCAGTTAAGGGCAAGGCTGGCACTCAGGCTCGGGACTCTGCATCCAGTGCTCACGCTAGACAGTAGCCCCCTCACCCCCTAACTAGCCCACAGCAACCAACTCAGGTCCAGCTTGGTTCTAACAACCACACAACTTGAAAGCAGTGAGAAATGGCCAGTGCTGCCCTCTGAGAGGGAAGATACTCCATCCCGTAGAAGGGACCTTTAGGCTCCCTCCCGCTCTACCGCACCTCCAGGGGATGGGCGGGCTGCTGGGCTCACCCTGTCGGCCTGCTTTTGCTGTGCGGAGACGGCAGAGAGCGTCCGCTCCAGCTCTCCCACGCGCTGCCTGGAAGACTGCAGGCGGTTAGCGAGATCCTCCGACTCTCCTGAAACAACAGTTAGAAGTGAAGCCCAAGAAGGAATCCCACTGAAGGCCTGCCAGCACGCCTGGCTGAAGGGTGAGAGGGTTCCCACCTGCTTTTTGTCTGGCTGCCTGTTGGGTGTGAGCCAGAGCTGACTGTAATTCTGACTTCTCAGACACTAGAATCCCAATAGTTTGAATGTGGACCTTTGGGAGAAAGGCCAAACAAGTGGTGAAAAAAGCAGAAAAGCAATGTTTCCTAGGGGACGTGAGGGAACCTGGTACAGTCCACGCACCTGCAGCTGTTCTCTTAGAGCCCCTTGTTCCTTCGCAAGCTTTTGCTCAAATCCCTTCTTCTCCTGCAGGAAGAGAGAAGAAACAGCTCTTACTGGGAGAAGGGAGAGATGGAACAGCAAAGGACATGCCCCCAGAATGCCACCACTGGCCCAGGACAGGCCCACCAATGAGAACAGGTAATTAGCTGCCCAGGGAGTTGGGGTTGGGGGTGGAGCAGGGAGTAAGCCCTCTATTTCTCCAGGCTGCAAGCAGACAAGAGGAGAATGGGCCTCTACATCTGAATCCTCCCCCAAACTCATCAGCCACGTGACGATCAGACGAAGAAATCACGTTACCTTTTCAAGTTGATCCAAAGCCTCTTGGTTCTCTTGTTTCTGTGGAGAGAGGCAAACGAAGGTGACTAAGGTTGTCCCCCTCTCCCACGATCCTCAGACCAAGGAGAGGGGATGACCAGGGACCAGGAATGGGTTTAAAAGGGAGAGTTCATAGGGACATGAACAGATGAACTCTTCTCAAGCCAAGAGACTTTGGGTCTTAGGGGGCGTTTGCTCACAGCTACAGAAATGAGTCTGAATCCAATGCCCTTGAAAAGACAATGACATAAACCCCTAGAAATGAAGTCTGAGATGGGAAAGCCCACGCTCCGCCAGCTCACGATCTGGAAGGGTGCATATGCTCAATGGATGTTTACTGAGCACACACCGCAGGCCAGGTTCTGTTCTTAACAGCAGGGATACCGGAATGAAAAGGATTTTTAAATCTTTGATTTTTTGAGCTAAAAGGGACCTTGGACACCCTCAAATTCTATTTCCTCGGGAAACTAAAGCCCAGGGAGGAGAGGTGACCTGTCCAAGGTCAAAGTCGGAGCAAATCAAGGGCTGAGTCAGGCCTGGAACATACCAGTCAACTAGTGCTTCCCCTAGAGGTGAGAGAACCGGGGCGAGTACAGAGAGGATTCAAACAGGGGTGTCTGGAGAACAGAGCAGGCAAAGAGAGCAGCCACAGAGAGAGCCATGCTGCGTGCCCCGTGCTCCGGGGTCCCTCCAGCTGAGACTTAGGCCCCCCGGCACCCCATTCTCCCTTGGCACCAGGGGCCCCCAGCCCCTTTCTTTAGAGCCCCAAGGTGAAACTAGAGCCCCAGATTGGCAGCGTGGAATCAGAGGACAACACTGGACTCTTACCAATTCCTCTATCTTGCTACTGAGTTGTTTGTTTTTTAGATTGCTGGAGTCCAAGGCTACTGATAGTTCTTGGTACCGGCTCTGAGGCGCATGCAGAGAGGAGGAGGAGGAGTTGGAAGAGGGACGGGGGAAGAGGTAGAGAGAGCAATCATTAGGGTTGGGGGGTGTCTTGGCTGTCTCAGCTGGCAGTGGGGCACCCAGACCCCACTGTGGGAGGAGGTAGGGGAAGGGCGGTGACTGGTCTGCAGGGTCACTGGGCCACGGTCCAGGCCCACTTACCTCCAGTTCCTTTATATTATGAGATGATAGGCCCTCCCCATTGATGTAAGATGTAGACTAGGAGAGATGAAAGGGCTCACATGGAGACATTCTCTGTCCCCCTCAAGAACTAAACCCTCCAACATCTTCCCCATCAACTGGCAACACTTTCCTTTCTGCCTATCTTGGCCCCCTCCTCCCCCCTTAACCCCTTTGTGCCAGCTTCTCCTGGTTCTTAACTTCCCCTTGTCCCTCTCCTCCCAAGCAGTTCTCATCAGCAGGATAAAATGACGGAACCAATCTCGTGGTCCAACCTCTTCATCTGTACAGCTTCAGCAAGGAGACTCCAAAAAGTAATGACTAGCTAAACATTATCCAGCCAAGCTGGCCAGTCCCAGGATCTTCCCTCCCTCTTGGGAATCTCTGCCTCAATTTCTTTCTGTCTTATTTTCCTTCCGTCTCTAGCCCCATCTGGGCTTCATTTTTGGGGTACCTCAGATACAAGCCCGTTGAGCTGCTGAGATAGTTGTCGCAGGCTCTCGGTGGATGAGAAAGATCTGGAGATGAACACAGGAGTCAGGGGTGCAGGAGGCTCAATGGGAAAGAGGGGGGTCATGGGCAGTGGCCGAGGGACTGCTGCCCCCACGGGAGATACTCACGTGCTTTCATCCATGGTAAGAGGACCATTTTCAACATCATGGTTCTGTTCGGGAAGAAATGTATGAGGCAGTCATTCAATTTCTGGTAAGAACCATTCAAGGGCAGGGTGAGCCAAGCTCATTCCAACAACCTTCCATCTCCTTGAACCTTAAGGAACACCTGGTGTTGACCTCCCCCATCCCAGTCCTCGGGAAGACACCAAGGCTCTAGGCACAAGCTGCCTGAAGAAAGGGGAATGGATCCACAGGAGGTACAATCCTCTGGGAAGGAGGACGGCTGAAAACATAGTGGGGCAGTGGGCACAGGGGGAAGAGGCACAAACCTGAGTTGATGCCATGCTAGTGACACGGGGGGGACTAGCACTGGGGGAAGTGACACCGCCAGGTGACATGGTGTCATCAGCAGACGGTGAAACAGGAGCAGCGCGGTCTTTGGGCGCCTGTCACGGAACAGAGCAGGGGGTTAGGGGGACATGCAGGAAAAAAAGGCGCCTTGCTGCCATGAATGCAGGGGTACAGAGCGGGTAGGACAGGTGTCGCTGCAGTTGGAGTGACAGTCACACATGCTGAGAGCCACTCTGGGGTGTGGCTATGGCTCGCCCAGAACGTGGGCCACTCTGCAGCCTTCTGGATGATCTTTGTGAACACAAACGGCCTCGTTCACCCTGGAGCTCAGCAAAAGACAGGACCAGGCTACCCTGCGGCAGCCACAGCAAGTAGAAGGAAGGTGTGCCAAGTCGGAGAAGGAAGGCACTGCTCTTCCAGAAAGCCAGCCTGTGCCTCACAGTGACCCTCACCCTGAGCCCCTGCTGGGCAGAAGGCGGCAGTGATGAAGGAGGAGAGCTACCTGCCTGTTCCCTCTTTCCTCTCTTGCTCTCCATCCCTTCCTTCCCCCAACCACTGGCTGTGTTTCCCCAACTGATTCAGGTCCTTTCTGGGAAAGGAGCTATCCACCAAGAACCCTCTCCCTGCTCCTAGAGGTAAAAAGAAAACCATGGCCACTGCCCTACCCTAACCTCCTAGCTCCAAACACCCACCCAAGAAACAAGCTGAGAAACCAGAGGTAAGATGTCTACCCTCTGACTCTCAGCATCCTGGGAAACAATCGTGGGATTGAGGACCAGGAGCCATGGAGACACTCCCTCTTCCCTGAATGGACCCACTTGCTGGCCAGAGCCCCACTCGGCTTCTCTCCAGGCTCAGGCCTGACACTCAGTCCTAGCCTCCGGCTCTAAAGATTTAATGTTCAACAGGACAGATGGGCAAAGAGATGGGGAAGAGGGTTGATAAGCTAAAGACTGACGAGGGAAGAGCGCTAGGGAGCCAAGGCCTGGCCAGCAAAGCTAGGTCCAGAAGAAGAGGCTGCACCTCTCCTGCGGGAAAGAGCTGCCTGCTCTCTGGACCCCTCAATCCTGGCCTCTGGAAACCCAAATCCACTGCCCTCTTTAGAGCAACTGTTATGGAACCTGGAGGAGCTGAAGATAAATCAAGCTGTTTGTGTGGTTACTGTCCATGCTGTGACCTTTGACCCTGGAACCTGGTGTTGCCTTGCCAACCTGTACCACTGAACCTAACCAGCTGGCTAGGCATGAGACTTCAGGGGAGTGGAGCACACTCTTAGCCATGGGCCCTGGTCAGATGCCTGGGTCCCTCCTGGCATCTTGGGTGCCCACTGATCCCTAGCATTAGAAACAAGAAAGCTCAGAAGGGGAAAAAAGTATTTTTCTGAGGACTTAAATATACATAACATGCCTATTCTGTGAGCAACCAACTTATTTCATAATTTTGAGTCATAAAGCTAAGTATGGCATTTTAAAAATCACTGTCCATTCCCCTCAAATGCCTCATTCCATTAAAAAAAATTTTTTTTGCCATTTTTTAGTCCTCATTTCTAGAAATACCATCAGCTCTGCCCAGGATACTGCCATCACAGGCCTGCAAAACTAGAGTGGAAAACTTCAGTGGGAAATAGTTATTGATGTAGAGAGAATTTTAAAACAAGAAGGGAGTATGGGACTCTGGGTCTTCATTTCCAGGAAAGCAGAAGGATGTGGACCCAGAACCTTAGAACATGAGTGCAGACTCAGGGCTTCAGGACTCCTGCTGGCCTGTGCTCCCCTCCTGGTGCCACTCACAGCGTCTCCTCTGAGCAGACAAGGTGAGTCATAGCACCTGGACAGACCCGACCCACTGGGCCTGAGCAGTCCTGATGACTGAAAGACTGTAACACCAGCCAACAGTGCCCCGTCCCAGCCCCTCTTCCCATGCCCATCTCCAACAGGACCTAGCCCCATTCCAGCCCCACTCCTGTGGCCTGGAAGATGTCCCCTGAGGAAGTTAATTAAAGGAGGAAGTGCCAACGTCATGTCCAGAGAAGGTCATCTCCTAGTCCAGTGCACCCCAGGCTCCTCGCCTTTCTGGGAAGTACTCTGTGAGCTCATAACCCTGGCATTACCTGTATTACACCCTCTGCCTGGGACTCCCATTTCCCCTACCCTCAATATGGATGGATGATTGTTACCCACCTCTATGACTAACCAGCCTTAAATGCCACCCCCTCCAGCCTCAAGTCCGTTTAGAACCAACATCTGCCTCAGTTGAGCATTTGAAATGTTGCCACATTCTACCTTGCTTCCTTCACCTGTTTTCTCCAGCACCTAGCAACGAATGTGCCTCTGCTCTCAAGAGCCCACTGAATATGTTTTAAGTGTCCAGTTGATTTTTAAAAGAGAATAAGGGCAGAATGTCCTGATCACTCATGTGTTTGGTTAATCTCACATCCTTTACAGTTAGTCCCACTAAAAAAAAAACAACCCTCAGTCCTTGTAACTATAATGCAAACTCTTAACCCTACATTCCCTACTCCCAAACCAAAGTGAACTGATCAACTCAAAAAGATCACAAACTGCTATGTGGTCTACTGGTGTTTTGGGGACAGATGCCCAGGGGGCAAGACCTGAAGGTTTGGTTTTATTTAACCTCTCCTAGTGTGATAGCACCATGGGGCACTCAAACCCGAGACTCAAAAAGCCCAAATCTCATACACCTGCTCTGGAAGCTATTCCCAAATTACCTTTAACCTCCAAGGAGCATCTCACCTTCTCCAAGATAATAAAAGATATGGGGGTGGGAGGGAGAAAAAAAACCCAACCAACCAAGCAGGTGAAAAAGCAGACATGAACAAGCCAAGGGTTAATGACAGCAACATAAAATAAGCCAGAGGCAAAGTATCCCCCAAACCAGAGAAGCCTCAGGGCATGCAGAGCTGGGAGGGAGCAAGCCAGAGAGGGGGTCTCGGCACTGCCTCACCTTCCATTTGTCCAATGGGGGGATCGCTACCCCATTGGAGCGGTTAAGGTCGGACACCAGCACCTTCAGAATGTCCTGAATCTACAGGAGGCGAAAAGGGGAAAATAAGGGCAAGGGGAGAAAGAGAAAAGTGGCTTAGAGAGAGGCAAGAAAGTCAGGGAAGGAAGAAGAGGTGGGTTCAGGGCAATGGAATGCTGGAGAAGACAGAAAGGGATCAATACCACGGCCTGTGCCAGCTTTTCAAACAGCCACTTGTTGCCTTGCCAGAGGCAGAAATCAATGTAAACAAACAGAAGGGGAAAAGTCCCCTGAACAATGCAGTCACATAGCTCCTTAGATAAACAATGCAGCTCTTAATAGCTCCTTAGACCTTCAGATTATTTAAACCAGATTTCAGAATAAGGGTCTGCTTGAACAAAAGGGACTATAGCTAAAAAATAAGTTTGAAAGACAATGATCTGATCCAACAGTATCATCTTACAGATGAAACTGGGGCTCAGGGGAGGAAGCGATTTTCCTGAGGCCACCCAGCAAGCTGGTGGCAGAGATGACCTTGAAACTCAGATGGTCTCCTAATTCAAGGGGCGGGGGCTCTCCTCACCACACCCTGTGGCTCTGCTGGTGCTTCTAATGGAGAGACTGAAGGCAAGTGGCTGCCCCTTGAGGCTGGGGGTGAGGGAGATCACCTGAGCAGTAAGTCAAACAGCAACCACTCCTTACTGAATGTTTACTCTGCACCAGGCCCTGTATTAAGGGATTAGTATAAAAACAAAAATCTCATTTAAACTTCATAAGTGTAAACTTCATAACAGTATTACCCCAGTTTTACCAATGTGGAAACAGAGACCCAAAGAGCTTAAGTAATTTGCCCAAAACCACATCTCCAGCAGAGGCAGAAGGTATTCAAATCCAGAATTCTTAACCAATACCTGACATTTCTTTCACAATCTTAACCACTACCCTCTACCGTCCCCTGAATACCCCATCCCCGGAAACTGGCTAGCCAAGACTCACATCCTTAGGCGAGGGACAACCATCAGAAGTGGTTGCCTCAGGGCTACTGCCATTCTTAATCTTTCTTTTTTTCTTAGCTCCTGCAGGAACACCAGGGCTGTTCTTCTGCTGATATTCTCTTAACTGCAAAAAGGAAAAGAAGTAAGTCTCATGAGAACTATAAGCCCCCAGGTATTCACATCCTACTTTACAGTTTACAAATTCCTCTTCTAATTGCCACCTGATTTAATGCCACAACAACCCTACAAGGTGTTGTAATTCTCAATGACTTAAGAAATGAATTGGTAACATGGCTAGAGGAGGAAAAAAGCAATAATGGACAATAAGGGAATTTAAACTTATTCTTCTGACTCTGAGTTCTGGGGTTATGACATCAATCAGCAGTTGCCAGGGGGCAAAACCAGAGGTAGAGGTGGAAAAGTAAACATTTAATCAGACATCAGGGGTCCCTCTCACACATCTGTTAGAGCTGCACACCAGTACTTCTCAAACTTTTACATCAATATACCCTAATGGCAGAAGGCAGTGAAGACACACCCCTAGCGAATGTGGGAATGTTAACAGAAAGAGGACAATCCAAACACCATTTCAGAGAGAAGTCTATTATAATCTTACAAGTCTATCCAAATGTCATCCCTAAGTACATTAATATAAAAGGCTTTTTCTCTTATAATAGAACCGAGCAAAAAGGATGCTTCAGGCCCATATTTATCCTGTGGCACTCAGGGCACCCCATGTTGAGATGATGATTTGGGAAAGATTCCCAGCTGTGAAGTTCAATTTCCCAGGATTTGTTCCACAGAACTCCAAAGAGCACTGAATGAGGGGCACTCTGGTCTTAGAATCATAGGGAATTAGACTGTGAGGTAGAAAATTCTTATTAAAAATGTGAAAGTCTCTCTGGACAGAAACCTGGGAGAAAAACAAACTAAACAAAGCATATTCTCCCCATTGCCACTCAGAGAGATTGTCAATGTTTTGAGATCATTGGTGAAGTGTAGGCTTTTTTACGCTATCGACATCTAATGATGGGGTACAGTCTACAGAGTAAGGGAGCCTGAAACCTAGATCCAACCTAGGTCCCACAGTCGCGAGGCCCCTTCCACCTAAATTTGTGCCGCGACTAGAGAAACCGGAAAAGGTGTGAAAACACTAGGGGACTGGGTCGTAAGATCAAACACGGGGCTCGTGGCGGTAATGACAGTTCCAAGGCGGATAATGACGTAACTACATTCCACTCCTCCCTACTGACGCCCGAGTCGCCGCTCCGCGGTGGGGGAAGGGAGCGCAAGGCCAGGACCGAGGTCCTTGGAGACCGGGAGCACAGGGAGCCCAGGGAGCCCAGGAGATCCGGTTCTGGGCGGCAGGAGGCGAGGGCCAAGCCTGGAGCGGGGAGTCCCAGGGGTCACCTGCCCAAAGTCGCCCGGGGGTGACAAGTAAAAGCGGGGGCTGGGTTGCGGGGGGGCGGGACTAGCTGAGAATACTTTTGAGGGAGGGGCGCCAAAGGGCGCCGAGGGGCTCGCCCCGTGTGCCTCAGAGGCAGCACGGACTCTGGCCATGGCCCGGCCGTCGGAGGGGTCTCGGGCTGGGTCAGGGAGCCGCGACCCCGCACATTTTACCTTTTTCTTGGCCGCAGCCAATTTGCTCTGTCGGGTTTCTTCCGACATCCCGGGACGGGGAGGGGGAAGGGGAGGGCCACATCAGCACGATCCCGGCAACCACTGCGGAGCTGCTTCCGGCAGCCACCGCGCCGCTGTGCGACTGAGCCAGAAAAGGAGGGACCAGGGCAGTTCTAGGCAGCAACGGTGTGGTGTGGGCGTGGCCTAAATTCTACAACCCCATTGGTCGATGGGAAAGATGAAAGGGGAAGGGGACGTGGTCAGAACGCCGCGAGCCGGGAAGAACCAGTGGAGCAATAATAAGAGCTGCGCGCGCAGCCCCTGTCTCCGCCCACCTCGGCGGGGAGGGGCGGGGCCCGCTCTCAGGGTGCGCGCGCAGCTAGCTGTGTGACCGGTTGTTCATGGTCTCCATTACGGGGTTCCGAATACCTGGCGGACCCTAGAGGCCACTTTCCGTCCCCGCCCTGGACCCTTCTGCGCTGCAGACACCCCCGAGACGGGGGCCCTGGACCCCAGGGCTCAAGAGGTGGGCGAGGAGCAGACAGCAGGGGGAAAGCACATCTTTTCCCAGTCCCTTTCCCCACTTCCCGTAGCTGTGCCCCAGACTTTTTCTTCTCAGGGATCACTTCCAGAGACCCCCAGCCACTCCTCCCACACTCCTCCCTGTCAGAATCTCCCCTTCCTTGAGGATCCCTAACCTGATCCTGGGAGTATTATCTGCCCCCTTCCCAACCGAATCCAGTCCCGGTCACTCCTACTTCACATCTGTTCCTCCTCTCACACCCCCACACTACCCCTTTCCTCCCAAAGCGGACTCTAGGTCCAATCAGCCTTTTTCGCTCGGATTCCTCTCCAGGACTCAACCAGGACTTTCCAAAAGTTGCCGTGGGGCCTTCCGATCCCCTGTGAGTATGCCTGTGCGTCCCCCGACCCCCTCTCCCCGCCCCGTAAGCCACTGCTGCTCCTGGCCCACCCTCTTCTCCATCCCCAACGGCAGTTGACCCACCCCCAGCCCTCTCCAATTTCTTCCCCTAGCTGACCTTATTCTGCTAAGAAACTCCAGGTCATTTCTCAGTCCTTCCTTCCTATTCCTCCAGCCCCCAAGCTTCAAAGAAGAAGCAGTGCCCTGTCCTTTTCAGTGGTACCCCAGGCTTTCCAAATGGGCTGTGTCTCTCCTCCTTCCTGACAGCACCGCAGGTGGTTGGTTTTGTTCTTTTCACACCACCTTCCCTCCCTCACCCAATCCACCCACATGGAAACCACTCTCATTCCCTCAAACACTTGTGTTCTCTGCTGCCTTTGGGCATTTGGATACACTGTCCCCTGTCTGGAATACTTTCCTTTCAGCTTTTTGCCAAACTGATGCCTACTCATCCTTTAAAGTTGAGCTTCCTCACCTCCACTTCTGGCACAGGCCTGTTGCTCTGTTAGACACTCTCTTAGCCCACTGTACTTCAACATCAAAGCACTTTCAGACTGGTAGTTAGTTGCTTGGTTATTTGTCATTCACTCATTCATCTGACAAATTCATTTGAAATAGTGCCTACTCTGTGCCATGTACTGTTGTAGACACAGGGCAGTTAGCAGTGAATAAGACAAAGTCTCTCCCTCATGGTAATTACACTCCAGTGGTACAAGGCCAACAATGGGAATAGTATTATTAGTGAAATGTACAATATGTCAGGTGTGATAGATACTACAAAATATCAGGACAAGAGGATAGTGCGTGAGTGAGGAGTGGCCATTTTAAATGGAGCTGTCAGGGAAGGCCTTTCTGATGAAGTGGTGTGACTTGTGAGCAGAGTTTTAAGTGGAAGTATCTGGAGGAAGAGCGTAATTGTGGGATGTTTTATGTTTGGGACCAAGCTATACGTTCCATGACGGCAGGAGGCCAGACTTGACAACCCCCATTGCTGAACCCCTGGAGGGAGTTCAGCACTGGGGATACAGTGATGCCACGACAGACCCTGCCCTCATGAACTTAAGGAAGGGCCGGGGACTAGCTTTGCCAGTGCCTGGCAGCTAGTGCTTACTCATGATTTGTTGAGTAACTGGTTAAAAGCCCCTGTTCGAAGAATAGGAACCACGTCTTCCTCCATCTCTTGTATCACAGTTGATACAACACACATTTCCTGTAGATTAGCAGTGTACCAGGCACTGGCCTGCACAGCTTTTAGACACAGAAAGGACAAAGATGAACTGTAGCCCCAGGGAAGGGTTTTGCTACCCAATGAGATTATAAACCCAGCGACATCCTAAACTTGAGAGGTGAATCCAAGAATTAGACCTGAGGTGGATTCTCTGGGGTCAGATTGGGGACCAGGATGGGCCCTTTAGTTACAGTTGGGTTTGGCTGGGACTAAAAGAAAACCCCAAATAATGGTGGCTTAAACAATCATCAGGGACCCATACCTGTATCTTGTCCTACCACATCTTCAGTGTGGCTTCTCCCTTATTACCCAAGATACCATTCAACTCCAGCATCCCTCCAACCCGGCAGGAAGAAGGAAGGCCAGACAAAGGCATGCCCTCTCCCTGGCAGGATGATTCCCAGATATTGCGTAGACCATTTCTGATTAAGTTCCACTATAACTTAGTTATGGCACCATATCTAATTCCAAGGGAAGCTGGGAAATGTAGTCTTATTCTGGGGTAGAGGATGTCTATTACCAGCCAGAAGCAGGGAGTGGATACAAGGGGACAACTTACAGTTTCTGAATTGCGGATAGTTGGTCAGTCCAGCTAATGACTTTTTGTGCCTCTCAGCGGCCATCTCCCAAGTCTGGCCAGGCTGATGGGGCCAGCGAGGATTCTCTGCAACTTGACATTCAGAAGCTGAAGGAGAAGAGGGACATGCTAGACAAGGAGATCTCCCAACTAACATCTGAGTAAGTCTCATTGGATTCCTCAGTGTGCTTGAGATAACTTTTAACTAGTTATTGTCACTGAAACCTAGCTTAGCATATAAACAGGACTGTGACGTTGGAGTCCGGGTATCTCAGCAACCGTCTCAGATAGGGTGCGGTCAGGCTCAGGAGGACCAGGAACCAGGAACTGGAAAGCTGTGGCTTTCCCAGTCTCTTTGTGTGGCTCGCCTTCTCTGCCTCTGCTTCTCTCTGCCCACAGGCTCCATCCTCTCCCTGCAGGTGGAGTTTTCAGTGCCCCAGGGAAGCTAACTCTTCTGCAGCTCCTGGGTTTTCCCATGCCCCTCACTCCAGCCACGTGGCAGACTGAGCAGCACTTGAATATACATTTCACACTTGAGGGGACCTGACTAGCCACTCGTGCGCCAATCTGTGAGTCACTCGGCTGTGACCAGGGTTACATAGTGCCAGTGTGGCTGGGACCCTTCCTGAGGGTATAGGGAGCATTTAGGAGTGAGGGAGTGGGCAGATCCCCGGCCCTTCCTTAAGTTCATGAGGGCAGGGTCTGTCGTGGCATCACTGTATCCCCAGTGCTGAGCGCCTAGTAGGCCCTGAGTGAACATTGGTTAAATAGATGCCTCATTACTGCTGAATGTTGGAGCCTCACCAGCTTTCTTAACGATTCTCTCTCTCCATCTCTTACCCTAGAGGCTACAGTGTGGATGAACTGGAGGACCACATCTCCCAGCTCCACGAGTATAATGACATCAAGGACGTAGGCCAGATGCTGCTGGGCAAACTGGGTGAGCAGCAGGACTCCCGAGGAGCGCCCAGGGCCTGCAGGGAGGCCCCACGCCCCAGGAGTGGTTGGATTTTGCTCCTGGGCCTTCTAATTTGCCAACTCCCCTACTGTTCCCAGCTGCCACGCTCCCTGAATGCCCCTGCCTTCTCTGGCCACCTAGCAAAGCAGCTGCACAGCTCTTCCCTGGGTCCCTTAGGTTGTGTTCCCTTGAGTATAGAGCCTGCTTTGGGGCCACAGGCTGTTTTGAGCCTGGGCTTGCCTGCCTGCCTGAGGACAAGGGAGCCCAGTCTTCTGGGGCCTCCTCAGACCAGTGGAGGCCCCACCCTTGCCTCAAGTGGCCGATATGCTGCAGAGGCAGAAAGCACAAGGGTGACTCTGTGACTTAAAGGAGTATTTTGTTCCTCCTTGACACAGTCTCGCTATCCAGAGGGCTGAGCCGAGGCACAGACACACTGACCATTTGGGACGGTGCTCAGAACTGGGCCATCTGCCTGAGTTGTAGTACTTGCTGTAGAATTGCCCATCAGCATCCAGGATGCCACAGCAGGAAGGGCTTCTCCCTGTTTCCATGGGGTTGGGTCCCAAAGGAGGGAAGGGAGAAAGCAGAAGGAGGGAAACAGAGGTGAAGACAGGAGGAGGATCAGGGTCCAAGGAGAAAGGAATGTGAGGGGACTTTGAGGTTAAGAGAAATAAGCTCCTGTTAGATCAGAACCCAGCTCAAGACCTGTCCTTCCAGGTCGTAGGACCCGGAGCAGGCGGCCCATCGTCTTTCATTCACCCAGTGACTATTTCCTACTCTGTGCTGCTTTACAGGGCATGGGGACACTTTGGTGAACCAGACACTTACAGGTCTCGGTTCTCCTGTGACTTATGTTTTGGTGTTGGGGTGGGGGAGGGGAATGGTCAAGAAGAAGTAAAGAAACACAAATGAATGAATTATAAAATGTGTTAAGTGCCGTAAAGGGTACAAAGGACAGAAATGGAAAATATTGAGGCCTGAACAGGGTGGCAGGTGGGGATGAGAGAAGGGGATCAGGGAACGCCTCTGAGGAGAGCTCTTCCCGCGGGAGGAAAGCAGAGTCTTGGACGAAGCAGGAGGGATGGCTTCACCTAGCAGCAGGGCGCCCCTGCACCAGGGTTTGCAGCTGGCTGCGGATACTACGTAAATGTAAATTTAAATTTTCAGCACATGACTCATGCCGCTCTGTGTGAAGAAAGGACTCTAGGGGAGCTTTGTTTACCTCCTCTGCAAAGTGGGTGAAGTTTAAGTGAGTCTCATGGACCGGGCCCCCAGTGAAGGGGCCTGGAACAAGTAGCAGCAGGGTTTTCTTGGCCAACTAGGGCAGCAGGAAGAAGGGGCCGTGTGGGTCCCAGGAGGGCTGGGGCTTTGGCCATTCTCCCTCCTACTTCTCCCATGGGACATTTATCCTTCCTTCCTTCCTTTTCAGCCGTGATCCGAGGTGTCACCACCAAAGAGTTGTATCCAGAATTTGGCCTGGACGTGAATGACTGAGCAGAGGCTCACAGCCCCTTGTCCATGGCCCACAGCTCCAAGTTTCCTGAAATGTCCCGGTGATACCTGTGTATGTGTATGTGTAAATAAACATGAGTGATTACTTCTCCCCTGGACTCCTTAGTAGTCTGTCAGTGGGAGATCCTCGTGACTGCCCCCTCGCCTCCTCCAGCCCCACAGACCCCTACAAGTCTCAGTCATGCGTGAGTGCATCTCCATCCACCTTGGCCAGGCTATGTCCAGATCGGCAATGCCTGCTGGGAGCTCTACTGCCTGGAACATGGCATCCAGCCCGATGGCCAGATGCCAAGTGACAAGACCACTGAGAGGGGAGACGACTCCTTCAACACCTTCTTCAGTGAGACAGGCGCTGGCAAGCGTGTGCCTAGGGCAGTGTTCATAGACCTGGAACCCAAAGTCATTGATGAAGTTCGCACTGGCACCTACCGCCAGCTCTTCCACCCTGAGCAGCTCATCACAGGCAAAGAAGATGCTGCCAAAACTATGTCCATGGTCACTACACCATAGGCAAGGAGATCATTGACCTTGTCTTGGACCGAATTCGGAAACTGGCCAACCAGTGCACAGGTCTTCAGGGCTTCTTGGTTTTCCACAGCTTCGGTGGGGGAACTGGTTCTGGGTTCACCTCCCTGCTGATGGAACGTCTCTCTGTCGATTATGGCAAGAAATCCAAGCTGGAGTTCTCCATTTACCCAGCCCCCCAGGTTTCTACAGCTGTAGTTGAGCCCCACAACTCCATCCTCACCACCCACACCACCCTGGAGCACTCTGTGCCTTCATGGTAGACAACGAGGCCATCTATGGCATGTCATAGAAACCTCGGTATTGAGCGCCCAACCTACACTAATCTTAACCACCTTATTAGCCAGATTGTGTCCTCCATCACTGCTTCCCTGAGGTTTGATGGACCCCTGAATGTCGATATGACAGAATTCCAAACCAACCTGGTGGTGCCCTATCCTCACATCCACTTCCCTCTGGCCACATATGCCCCTGTCATCTCTGCTGAGAAAGCCTACCGTGAACAGCTTACTGTAGCAGAGATCACCAACACTTGCTTTGAGCCACCCAACCAGATAGTGAAATGTGACCCTCGCCATGGTAAATACACGGCTTGCTGCCTGTTGTACCGTGGTGACGTGGTCCCCAAAGATGTCAATGCTGCCATTGCCACCATCAAGATCAAGCGTACCATGTTTCTATTTCCAATGTCAAAAAAGAAAAATATGAGTGATCTTGGTGTAAGTCTGTACGCTGATTCTCCTCTGATAGCCCCCTGATCCCAACCTGGAAAAAGAGAGCCTGCCTTGGAAAACAGCAAGCTGACATGTGCCAGGCACTGTGCTAAGTGCCTTAAACCCATGATCTCTACTACTTAAACCCCATCCTAGGAGGACTTAGTATAGCTATCCCCATTTTATAGATGAGGACACTGGGGCTCAGAGAGGCACAGTGACTTGCCCAAGGTCACACAGCCAGTAAGTGGCAGAGCAGGGATTTGAGCCCAAGTCTTAACTCTGAAGCTTATGGTGTGCAAAACTGCCTTTATGGCCCGGGGAACAAGTGGCTAAGAGCTGAGAGTGAAACAGCAACTTTGGGAGGAATTCTTCTCTTGTAAATTGATCTCCAGGGTCAAGGTTCCAGTCCCCAGTTGTAATCCTCTTCCAGGCACAGGTGAGCTGTTGTCATTTCTTCACTGCGCGTTGCTCCTCATGAACAGCTATAGCTGGCAGACGTGCAACCTGCGTGTTGCAACAGCTCAGTGCAATCCAGAATAGCAGGAATTACCCAGCCCTGCTAAGTATCCTGACCATGCCAGCGTCCCTCTGCCCTGTCCCTGCTGGACATTCTCATAAGATTTCAGATGTGATAGCAGTGCTTGGGGACAGGCTGTCATAAGTATAGTTTCTAAAAAAGCAGCCATGCGAGTCAGGTCTGGGTTTGAGTTCCAGCTTGGCCCACTTACAAGCTGTGTGACTGTGGGCAGCCAGCTTAGCATCTCGGTAAATAGGAATGACAGTAGTACTGTGTGTATTGGGACAATTTACGTTAGCTGCCTCAGCGACTCCCAAACCTCCACGGCTGAACACGATAAAGGCGTCTCTGTCTCACAGTCTGATGAGGGTCTGGAAGCCCTCATACATTTCGGAGATTAATTGCTGGAACCCACAGTGGAGGAAGGGAAGAGATGGAGAAGATATATCAACTCTGAACTGACTCTCCCCAAATGGGCAGACGTCACTTCCACTCATAGACAATTGTCCAGTATTAGTCATGTGGCCCAAACTGACTGATAGCGGCTGGGAAATGAGGGTGAGCTCCTGGGTATCTGATGGGGACGAGCTGCTGTCTCAGCCATGAGTACCTAGCTCTAAAGAGTGCTTCAAGGATTTGGTGAGCATTCACCTAGGATCCAACGCCTGGGAACGTTAGTCCCGCTGGACAGCAACTCGTAGTCCTCAGTGGATGGCATGACCCTGGCCCACACTCCGGTCCTGTTCCAGAATGCAGACTGCTGGTTCCTCTTGCCTCCCACCACACAGAATGGAGCTGGGAGCCATGGTCTCTGGGGCTCTGCTACACAGTGCTTCTCTGTCAGCAGGAAGACGGGGAACTAAGAAGTGATGACCACGCAGTATGATAAAAGGCTGTCGTGGGGTTATAGGAGCAGCTTTGAGTGGCATCCAATTCGGGACACTGGGGAAATTTGCCGGGAGAAGAGACATCGATGTCTGTACAATAAAAGGAGTCAGCCAGACAAGAACGGGGAAGTAATGCTCCAGGGGGAAACAGCATTTGCAAAGGCCCCGAGGCCGAGAACTCAGTGGGCCCAGGACACTAAGAGTAGTTAGGAATGGAGCATCTCCCAATTCTGCATTTTGGGCCAATCTTTCATTTTTTGCCCCCAGGAGATGGGTACAGTTTTATTTTCTACAACTCACACATTTTATGATTTAACTCTTATGATTCAAACAAATCAAAGACATTAAAAGCAGACATATAGGGAAAAAATAACAAAGGGAAATGCACCAAAATAATACTCATGCTTATTTAAGATGGTAGGATTATTGGTAGTTTTCCCCACTTTCCTATGTAGTGTGCAATGTATCGTCCTGCTGTCGGTGCAGCAATTGTTGGACCACATCTCCACACCTCCACAGCCTCAACTCAGTTCCCAATCCAGCTAGTTAATGTTGACCTTCCTGTAGTTAATCATTTCTTTCTTTTATTTTCTTTATCTCTCCCACCCTGTTTTGGTATCTAATTTCAAACCTTTTGAAAAGAAAATTTTAGGAGGGGAAGTAATCAAGTTTATTCATTTACTTATGTTTAGAGGAGGTAGTAGGGATTGAACCCAGGACCTCATGCATGTTTAGTACGTGCTCTATCACTTGAGCTATACCCTCCCCTCTTCTAAGTTCATATCTTATAGCAAGATACCCTTCCCTCTTGTCTTTAACGCTATACTAGTAATTTTGCTTAACTCTAACCTTATCCTCAACCCTAATTCCAAATGTTGCTAGAAAGCAAGGACACTTCTCACTTGTTCCTTAAAAGCCTCTTTACAAATTACAGATCTCTTGTAACTATATGCTTGTTTTCTGACTGTCGCCCTGTGATGTATTTCTTCTGGAAGGTAACAAAAGGAGCTAAGGTAGATTCCAGGTTCTCAAGTTGAGAATGAATACACTGCCTGTGCTCAAAAGACTTTTGCATTTTGGGCCAATTTTAGGGTACAGGAGGCTGTTGGGAAAACATCACCTGGGTCCATTTCCCTCTCTGTGAGGTCTGCTCTCCCAGCTGTCATGATGGGAGGATGCCATGCGGGGGCAGTGTCTGCTCAGAGATGCACCCAATTGCCAGGGATGCTGATCCTGGGAAAGCCTTGCTGGGAAGGTCTGGTCGGCCAAGCCACTGGCCAAAGACAAGATCCTCCGAGTGCCCCACATAGAAGAGGGGGCTCTTTCTGGCAACACCCCTCCAGGAGTCTGAAGTGACCTCCCCATCACCCCAGGCAGTAAGGAGCCAACAGGTTGTGAGATGTGGACAGTGGCATGTCATTGCTCAGGGTGTGCCCCGATGGTGCTGGAAAGCAGGTTGCCAAGGGCAACTGACACTGTCCAGCCCTGATACCTGGAAGCATTGTGATGAAACTGCCAGTTGCTATAAGGCAGGCAGGGAACCAGGTGAAAGGTGACAATCACCACCCCAACCAGTCACAAGCCAAAGGTTTCCCCAGAGAAGGGTTGATGGCAGGGAGAAGAGCACTTCGTGTACAGTACCTCACTGACACCTGCCAGTCCCAGTGTGGGTAGGTGGAGGATCCTCATTTCCAAACTGAGGCTCAGAAGGGAGGAGTGACCTGCTCAACATCACAGTTTCGATAAACAGTTGAACTGTCTCACTCCAGAGCCTGGCTGAAGGTGTGCTGTCCTCCGCCGCCAAGGCTCAGCCCTCTCGAGTCTCTCACCAAAGGTCATGCATTAATAAAAGGAGTCAGAACTTGAACCCAGAACTCTCTAAGCCTTTAAGCCTAAGGTCTTAGGCACAAACCTCTGCTGTACTTCTTAGAAGATGTACCCGCCCAAGGCCCTGCCAGAGGGGCCAGGCTAGTGGCCAGAAATGAACAGCTTTGGCCTTGAGTTTGGCCTTGGCCCCTTTCTCCTAATTCCTCTGAGCAGGAGGCTTTGCTCCCTTTCCAGAGAGCCTTTCGTTCTCAACATCAGGAACTCTGAACAGGAGCAGATCCTCTCCGGGCCTTTAGCTCCCTGAGCCTCTCGTGTTCATCCCAGAATCCCAGAGGATCTCAGCGGCAATGATAACCATATCCGCGAACACTGGGAGCACAAGCCCTGTGCCAGCCCCGACCCTAGTGCTCAGCATGTGTTCCTAATGGTGGTCCCAAAAGGTATATGCTTATTCCCATTTTCCAGATGAGGCAAGTGAAGCTCAGAGACATCAAGCCACTTTCCCAAGGAAACAAAGCTAGGCTGCAGACTCAGAGGTTGAAGATTCCACAATTATGCTCTTGAAAGGCCAGGTAATAATTTCCAAACCTCTAAGTATATCACAATTACCGGAGAAGGC